CCCCAAAACCCCAAAACCCCAAAACCCCAATTTAAACAAGATAAATTGAAATTCAGCAATCTCAAGGATTAATTTATAGAGCGAGGTGTTGATGTGTTTTCCTGAACTTATTTATGCTGCTCTTGGTCCACTTGATTGAGCCTTTTCTACTTCTACTCTTTCTGCATCCTTTAGAAGAAATTTCATTTTACTAAAGTTTTGAGTAGAGGTCTATATTTGGACAAATATATTGTTTTACTTTTATTCCCAGTAAAATAGATGTAAGTAATCTCACTTTTTGGAATTGAACTTAGTATGTTGACTAGCAGAGTGGTTTCAGTCTTTGCGATTGTAGAATCTATTCCTTGAGCATCTTGTGTAACCCTCTAGGGGACACTATCAAATCTAGACCGACTCCGAGACTTTTCAAGTCGTTTAAGATTTGTAAAGACAGGGTTATTGACAATTCATTCATCAATTTTCAATAAGCTTATCGATCTTCAAAAGATGTATCAGGAAATACCTGATTTGAAATAAAGTCTCTAATGAAATGTTCAGTATTAATCAGTTTCTTACATTCTGTACCCTATCCTCGCTTGCTGGCTTGAAGAACTTTGGATATACTCCTTTGGAATGAATATATCCAAAAATTCATGTAAAGTGAGCATCCCATTATTCTTCGAATTATACAGTTTGAAAACTTTTAAATCTTGAATTGCTCATGGGGACACCTAAACTCTTCAAATTTTGTTTAAATTTCTTGATGTCTAGGTATTGTCTAGATTCATACTTGGGTTTGTCCTATCTGTTCAGGTCAAACTGTTGTAGAATAGGTTTTTCATACTTGTCAAAGAAAGAGAATAAGAGTAAAAAATCAAGATCATATTTTTTATTAAGTTGAACCCTGAATTTCTCTAATTTCTTCTCATGTTTAAAATTTTTACAATTTTCGATAAGAATTTTGATTTTTTTTTACAATTCCGAGGCTAAAAATGGAATTAATTATAAAACTTACACTCTCCTTCTCATAGTTGTACTTCACGCTATTTAATTTGTTTGAAATTGATAAATTAGCATGACTCTTGCTTGAGCTTATTCTCCTTGAACTCTTGGCTCCAAGATCAAAGGACTGGAACTAATAGTTTAAATAAACTCATATTTTAGTCCTTACATTTGAAGAATTTCTAAGGTTGGGTATATCTTCACTCTTCTTAAAAATGTAGCTCTTTTTCCAAATTTCTGAGCTTATTTAAGAAAATCTTTCTCCTGAATGATCACCAGGATGGCTCACTTCTTTTATAAATATTCTCAGATGGATTCTTACTAAGGGGATCTCGAACAAATAGCTAGAATCTGTTTTAATCCTGGGCTTTTTGGAGCATGGTTTCATGAACTTAATGAAATCTTTAAACTAAATTTCCCATTGTCTGTGCTATAAATTCTCCTCAGAATAGCTCCTACTAACTGGGCTGAGGAATCACTATTTTTTAGGTTAAAGAACTTTTTGAAGCTATTAAGTGCTATTAAATGTTAGTACTTGTGAATTACTCTGCTTTGCCAGTTGTTTCCAAGAATACAGCCTTGTACTCATACTCCTTGATTATGTCCAGGGCTGACATGAAGTGTGCAAGCTCTTGGTAGATTAGAGCCTAGGTTCAGATAAGGTGCCTTGCATCATTTATTATCAGTGACTTTACGTAGTTCGAGTATCGCAGAGGGCGGTTCTTGTTCTTCTTAAATCTTATTTATAATATTATTATCAGTGCATGGAAGAAGGATAAACATCATTTCATTGTAGTTAAGGCATCCTTCCTTGCTTAGGTCGAAATATCTAACCATCATATCTAGGCTGGGATCTTCGTTGGATTCTCTATCTTGGTGTTGGGTAGAATATGTCTTTGTAAAAGAGCCTTCATTATTCATATTAATTCACAGAAACCTATGAATATCATATTTTGTAATGTAAAACCCAAAGGTTTCAAATAAAATCAGAGGACAAGGGGTTTTGGGGTTTTGGGGTTTTGGGGTTTTGGGG